AATAAGAAGACCACAGCTTCAAAAGTTACTGCTGAAATGAATGTTGTGTTACCGAACCCTGAGAGTACCATAACAATTAGAAGGGAGCTTCATAAACAGGGAATTGCTGGCCGTGCTGCAATTGAGAAGCCACTCATCAGTGATGCTAATGCCCGTAACAGGAAAAGGTGGTGTTTAAGTCATAAAGCCTGGACTATAGAGCAGTGGAAAGCGAGTAATATGGTCTGACGAGTCTTCTTTCACATTGTTTCCCACTTCTGGCCGAGTTTACGTCTGGAGAAACGCCATCTCAAGCCTATAATGCAGATTGCTTGTTGCCAAGAGTGAAACATGGCGGGGGTTCTGTTATGGTTTGGGCAGCCATATCGTGGTTTTCTGCTAGCCCCATGATAACTGTGTCAGGGCACATGACTGCCAAGACTTATGTGAACATTTTGGTCGATCAAGTTCATCCCATGGTACAAACTTTGTTCCCCGATGGTGATGGTGTCTTCCAAGACGACAAACCCCTGTTCACACAGCTCACATTGTCCGTTTTCTGAGCACGAGGATGAGTTGTCCCATCTCCCCTGGCCACCACAGTCACCAGTACTGAATATTATCGAACCTTTGTGGTCTACATTGGAACGGAAAGTGCGTTCTCGTTATCCACCGCCAACATCGTTATCTGAATTTGCCACCGTTTTGCAGGAAGAATGGTATAATATTCCCTTGGCAAACATACAGGAACTGTATTTATCCATTCCGAGAAGACTGCAAGCTGTTTTAGATGCCAACGGGTTTCCTACGCCATATTAAGCAAAGAAACATGTTTTTTTAAAGGTGTTTCCATATTTTTGTCCAACCCCTGTATATTAAGACGTATTTCAAAGCGAATAAATACCGAGGTACCACAGTGTTTATATTTTATTTTATAATAAAAGAATTAAACTTTTCATTACAGATAAGAGAGAAAATGATATAGTTCCTTTAGACTTAATAAAAAAAAGATCTTGAGTGAATTATCTCTCAGATGTAAAGTTCATGAATCATTCAATGAAAATGTAAAGTAAATTAAAATTAACCTTTACCCGGGTAAAATTTCTCTACCTTCAAATTCAATATGGTGAAATTAAAAAAAATTCCCTTGTTATTTTTGTGTTTGCTGGTCCCTAGACTGCCCAGTGGATAATCCGACTGACCACTTCTAATTATTCGTGATTTTAAAGTTTAGCAAAGATGCTGTCAGCGTTGTTCATTTTATAGATTTCGCCATATATAAAACATGATAGGAGTAGGTTTCCCTTGAAACGTCTGCCACAAAAGGCATCCTCTTCTTCAGTTAACTCAGATGCGTTTTGCCATAGTTCGGTAACTCCAGTGTATGCTCCTAAAGTAAATATTAAAGTGGCAAATAACAAACTGCAGAGTCGTACAAACGGGAATAAATGTATATCTAACATTTAACTAGAAAATTCTTTCTCTCTTTCTGTCTCTGCTGTATTGACAAAAACAAATATCTCTTTTTCTTCTCGCAGCCGAAAAAGAAGGTTCTGTTTACCTTCAAAATTAAAGTCCTACAAATTTGCTCATGTTAAGACTCTTGTCGCTTATTATGTGCTATTTAAGAATAGCAATAAAACCTTAAATTCCAAACTGATACACACAATTTATTACAAAGCTTTCAAAAGTTCAAAATGTATAGATATTATTATTTTATATCAAACCATGTTGTAAGGATTATGTTAATTTTATTAACAGTTAAATTTTAAGTTAAAGTTCCTTTCCTGTCAAATGTTACTGGTGGTTTCATAGAAGTCCGCATCCAAATTAAATCCGAATCCTTCCATTGGATTCGTGGACATCTGAGGGACCTGAAAGATCGGAAGGATCAAAGTAAACTTCCCGGATTCTAACGACATGGTCTGTTGAAAACTTTTCGAGCGCCAAATGTGAGGTTTACTACTGTGTATTTGCAGTCAAAAGTGAGTAACCTTAAGAACTAGTTAGCAAATAATCCCTTAAGTTCGTGTGACAAGAAACAACAAGATGGAGGGTAACTAACCCTTTATGTTCCAATAAAATTTAAACAAACTCCGTCTTGGGGTACAATCAAAGCCGACACTTGGGCTTAAACTTAAGAGACTAAGAAAATAAACTAAAACTAAGATTAACTAAAGAGATATAGCCGAAGTTATCAAGATTCTAATCGAGTTGGCCCCTTAACTCTATTTGACTACGAAGCTTATCAAAGGCCTGAGTACGGCCTACAGTAATAACAGCTTTGAGGAAGAGTAGCCAAAAGGCAGACGCGCAAATCAGAAACTCTGATTCTCTCTAACTCAGCAAGTAGAACTTATGGTTTAACTTCTCTTCATTAATTATTCAGAGTGATTCAAAAATTACGTTCTGGCCGGAAGTAGTAAGTTGAAGTTAAGAATTTGACAGGAAAGGAACTTTAACTTAAAATTTAACCGTTAATAAAGTTAACATAATCCTTACAATGTAATGATTCAAAATTTATAACTGTGTTTTTGTTTCAAAGCATGCGACACAAGAGTCGATTATAATTCACCTGCAAATTTTGAATTGTCGCTCCATACTTTTTACTTCCTTGTACGAAGTAAAAAGGAAGTATTGTAATTGCGAAAGGTTTCAGGCAGCATATTTCAACGAAAATATCCACTTTAACCGCTTTCGAATGCAATTCAACGATGTTTTTGCGTAATATCTATACGTAAGGGCAGAATAAAAGACTCTCTGCCTCCAAAAAAACTAAAAAACTGCTTAAAAATTGAATTCTGAAGAGAATTTTTCTTGGCGTCTGTACGAACGTATGTACGTTCTCGCATAACTTAAAAATACGTGCGTACGTATCTCGCATAACTTAAAAATGAATAGCCTCAGAACGATGAAATTTTGTATATAAGACTACTATAACATGTAGATGTGTACCTCGTATTTTGGTTGCAACGGCCGCACCAAACGTATATAAATATTTATATATATATATCCACTGTTACCCGGCTCAGTGATCTCAGTTTCTTACTCTTATATGTTTGTAAATTGTACATTTTGTGCTTTAAAAATCATTGAATTATATTGTTTTTATCTTCTGGTTAAGGATTTATGCCTTTAGTAATATGTGTGCAAAATTTTTGTATTATCAGCAATTTAAAGTTGTTTAATTGGCGCTAAGTCTTTTTTAATGGCGGCCTAATGTTTACATTTGAATCAGAGACTAGTGGATTTGTTGCCAATCAGAGAAACTTAATTGTAACAACAAAGAAACGCATCATTTATTATTGCCAATTAATCATGCTTAGTTCTTTCTGGAATTTTTCGAGGAAATAAGTTTTTGAGGATTACTTCGTAATTTTAATATGGGTATTTGGAGGTTTTTATTTTTGCCTTCTCGCGAAGTGAGAATGAATTAATTCAATAAGAAAACACTCAATCGTCTGTGAAAACTGTTTCTTTTTTTTTTTTTTTTTTTTTTTTTGTTTAATTTCTTTTATACATCATTCTAGCTATTATAGTATTGAATAGACATGTGACAACGATTAGATAATTCTATTCTTTAAATTATATAAATTTTGTCCATTATGAGTTATAATGTAAACGAAATATATACGTTAACTGTTATATAATTATTGGATTATAAACAGTAGTTACCGTTATATAATTATTAATAAGGTAACTGCTATATAATTATAATAGCGCCAGATTGTCGCTATGGTAAACAAATACTAGAGGGGAATTTTAAAGATACATTATTTATTGTGGGTTTGCGCTGTCGGCGAAGTAGATTTAATTCAATCTAATGAGTTTAAATGAAATTAAAAAAAATGCGTATAATTTAATATTCCAATTTAATATTCCAATACAAGGAAGTCATGTGGTGTACACATTAGATTTTTTAATTTTCAAATCACCGTTCTAGAAACACTCGACGGATATATAAATGAACATAGTTTCCCCTCAGGATGGAGGAACACGCACCTACAGCTGGGTTTTGTAATCTGCAAAACGTTTTTGGCAGGAAATCGGACATGCGCTAGTAATCGAATGCAATAATATATTTTTAGCTTTAATAACCTGTTTACTGTCTTTAAAGCTACTGTCGTATTCAACACAATTTTTATTTTCCGTGCTAACTATATGAAAATTTTTGGAAATGTATTTAAATTACGATGGAAACTACTACAGGAGCAGGTATAGATGTAAACGTTTAGGAAAGTTATAAACATAGCACTCCCACACATCAGTTAATTCTGTCATACTGGTTGTTGCTTCAAATGGCTGGATAATTGTAACTTAATCCATGTCTTTTCCGGGATTCAAATCCGGGCTCCAGAATACTGTAGCCACCAATGCTAACTGCTATACTGATCAAAGCTGCACCTCCGAGCAAAGAAGAAATGAGCGACTCCTTAAGCCGTCAAATTGCACTGGAAAAGCACTGAAAGCCGTTTTCCCGGAAATCAGTGTACCCACACATTCCGGTTTAATGATAAACAAGGACATAGGCGGTGGAGCTGGTGCACACAGTAAACGTTTTTAATTATTATATCTCAGTCATACTAGAAATTCATTATTATAACTAGTCTAATACTAAAGTAAATTTATGCTTATTCTTCATTGACTCACGAATTTTTAAAGTCGAGGTGATGTGAGGGATTTTCCTGCTTTGTAGGCATCATCGAGAAAGTCCTTGCATCCCGTTTTGAAAACAAAAATTTAACCTACGACGATAATAGCTGGTAAATGATATTGTATTTTCCTGTTTAGAAATTAAATTTGAAACTTCAACATTTATGGCATAACATACTGACACAAGGCGTACAAATAAACTAACTCAATGATTGAAAATATATTTAGATGGATTTTTCATAGTGTAGCTAATTACCTATAAAAATCCTGAAACATGATCTCATTAGCTCATCTAACTTTCTGAAAATTACATTATTAGTAATTCATAACTTATTTTTAATGATAAAACTGTCTTTTCTTTCTTGCAGAACACTGTGGATAAACTATTCGAGAAAACCAACGTCTCGATGACCATTGGCACATCTTCTTGGAAGGAACAGTTTCTTGACGTCATCACTGTGAGCGCAGGTAATTGAATTCAAATACATCACGATTTATTACAGCTGTGTACCATGTATTTTATATCTGAATAATTATTGCAAGAACTGTTTTTACTTCCTTGTACGAAGTAAAAAGGAAGTATTGTAATCGCGAAAAGTTTCAGGCAGCATATTTCAACGAAAATATCCATTTTGACCTCTTTCAATGCAATTTAACGATGTATTCGTGATCTGTATGTAAGGACAGAATAAAACACCCTTTTCCTCCAAAAAAATTATAAAACTTCTTTAAAATTAATTCTGAAGAGAATTTTTCGTGGCGTCTGTACGAAAGTATGTACGTACGTACGTATCTCGCATAACTCAAAAACGAGTAGCCTCAGAACGTTGAAATTTTGTATATAGGACTGCTATAACATGAAGATGTGCACCTCGTATTTTGGTTGCAGTCGGCAGCACGAAACGTATATAAATATATTTATATATATATCCACTGTGTTACCCGCCTCAGTGATCTCAGTTTCTTTACTCTTATATGTTTGTAAATTGTACATTTTTGCTTTAAAAATGATGGAATTATGTTGTTTTTATCTTCCGTTTAAGGTTTGTATGCCTTTCGTAATTCTGGAAGTAATATTTGTACAATTATCAACAATTTAAAAGCTGTTTAAGTGCTGTTAAGTTTTAAATAACATGGCGGACATATTTGTTTACATTTGAAACGGCAGAATTGTAGATTTGTTGCCAATCTAGAGAGACTAAGCTTCGCAACACAAAAATAACGCCTTCACTTATTATTGCGAATTAAATCATGCTTAATCCTTTCTGGAATTTCTTCGCGGAAATAAGTGTTTAAGGTTTACTTCGTAATTTTTAATGCAAATATTTTGAGTTGTTATGTATTTTTGCCTTGTCGCGAAGTGAGAACTGAATTAATTGAATGAGAAATACTAAATCGTCTGTGAAAAACTGTTTCTTTTCTGTTTTGTTTGCTGAATTTCTTTCATACATCGTTTTAGCTTTATTATATTATTTGAATAGAACATGTGGCAACGATAATTCTTCAAATGATATAAATTTTGTGCATTCAGAGTGTCGTTATAGTAAACAAATATAGTGAATTTTAAAGAGTGTATTTATTCTATTGTGGTTTATGCGCTGTCGACGAAGTACATTTAATTCAATCCAATCAATTTAAATGAAATTCAAGAAAAAAATGCGTATAATTTAATATTCCGTACAAGGAAGTCGTGTGGTGTACACATCAGATTTTTTATTCTTGATCAGAAGTAAAATTATACAGGTTACTCGCTAAAGAGAAATTTCATAAAACGTTAGAATATATATTAGTATCCTAAAACGATAAGGAGTTTTACTTTTGTAAAACATTTTGAGGAAACTATGTTTTGTTATTTTAACGTGTTTTCCATTGTTGACTGTACAGCTGCTTTGGCGTCAAACGTCAAGGTAATGTCCAATGATTTTACGAATGGCTTTCGTTCATATTTCATATAAAGAACAGCATGAAAACAGGCTTATATTCAAATAACTCCGATGGAAGGATTAGCTTCCAAAATTTTAGAGTTATGAACATCTAGTGAAATTAAATATTTTACTACTTGTGATTTATTCGAATAAACTAATTTGAGAATGGGACCATAGAGACTAATGTACCACAAATTTCTCCATTTCTAAGAAATTTTATCTTGCATTACATTTTCTGGTTATTCATAGTCATTATTACTATTGTAATGACCAATGGAATTGTTTCTAAACAATGTTGCAATAAGAATGATAAGATTTAAAAAAGAAAAGCTATTTCAGACGCAACCTATTGTTTTGAAGTATGCTGTATGATATAATATTGTTACTAAATGCCCCGCCGCGGTAAGATAGCTTCCCCACAAGGCAGGTTTAGGTTTGCCAGAAAATAGCAAAGAAGGCAGTGTTGTCATATTTGGCGCGAAATCGCCAGTTTGGTTACATTTGGCGATATGCCTTAGACAGATGGAGAAGATTTTAGAACGGATAATAGCTAATACATGATTATCGGTTTGTCTGTGAATGTTTTCGAAGGCAGGCCAAAAACTATATAAACGCTGCCTGTACGCGGAATAGTAGTCTAGTGTCGAGGTGTCTGGTGAGTGTATCGCGAGTTGGTGCATCGAGAGTGTGTATCTTCGTGAGTTGTTGAGTGTATCGTTGTGTTCGCCTAGGGTGTAAAACAAGTACGGAAATATGTATACGCACCTTCTAACCGAGGACTTTCGAAGAACCGAGGACATCCTCGGTTGACAAGAATGCCAGAATCGCAATCAGGGACCTCGGATCCATGTAGAAACCAATTATGAGCCAAATCTGAGCTATGTCCTCGGTATGAATATAAGTAGTTTATTTCTGTGTAAAACTGTGTATGGAGCTGTGCATCTTTATGCAAAAAATTGGGGCCACGCTTCCATGTCAGGAAAAGCAAGTTCCCCTTGCTACTGCTATTTGGAATTGAACATGTGCATTCCAAATGTGGTCAGACATACTATCTAGTTCCTCCGTTAATGCGGTGTCGGGATTAAGGACGAGTGTGTTTTTTGCTAACCTTATTTGGTCATGTTACGATAGTCCTCTTTTCTGCGGTATCGGGATAAGGTTTGTGTGTTTCCATTCCCTCCATATATGGTCATGTTACTATGAGAGTGTGTATCGTCGTGAGTTGTTGAGTGTATCGTTGAGCTATCTAGTGTATCGTCGAGTGCATCACGAGTTGTAGCGTACAGAGTGTCGAGAGTACGTTAATTCCGAGAACGACCGAACCGAGTCAGGAGCTGTAGTCTGATGCTTTGCCGTGAAGCTGTCTTCACCGTTATAGCCTGAAAGCCTGAAGGCTGGGGTGTTGCTGATTTTTTCAGCGTGTTCGTCGTAGCTTTTCGATTACTGTAAACGCGTTTTGGGGCCTGTACTGAGTAATACTGGTTACTAAATTGTGTTTTCATTCTTCATCAAGTGTTGTCGTTAATCACTGCAAATCCACGAACCCGTACAGAACGCAACACTATTTCGAAAAAGATCATCTTTTAAGTTTCCATCTCGACATAGTTAACACGAGCGAATTCGATGAATCCAATTTTCGATTACCATATGCAACAGCTTTAGCCTATTCTCACGTGTGTTGTGTTCGATGTTTATTCTTAATAATTATTTAAGGGTTCGTAGTTTGTTCGCATAAAATACTGATTTCGAATAACCCCACAAAAAAGTAATCCAAAACAGTTAACTTCTAGGACTTCACAACTTGTAAGCCAACTAACAGTTGAGTTTCGTGAAATGACCCTTTCACCAATCTTTTTTTTTTTTTTCCCCTGAATGTCGATATTGGCGTTTACAGTTAGGCATGGGGCAACGTCTTGTTGAAAACATATGTCTTTCATATATGCCACAACATTTGTATAATCTATCGCTATCTCCCACTAATCTCTGTAACTGCATCTTCAACTGCATTTTGAGGGGAAAAAAATGATCCGATGATGCCGCTGTACCATCAACCACACCATACAGTGATCTTTTGCGAACGCAAGGGCTGCATCTGCATCTCTTGTGGATTGTTTTCGCCCGAAAACGACAATTTTGTTTGTTTATCCTTTCTAGCAGAAATGGACTACATCTGAGAGGATATCTTGTGTAAACCACACAAGGGCAGAAAATTGTCCACTGTTTTTGGACAAAGTTTCTAAATAAACAAAACTCTTTTAAAGATAATGCATTTACAAGTCTTTTGAAGATTAATTCATTTACATTCATACTTAATAGAACAAGAGCGTAAAGCTTAAACTGTAGGAGCAATTTGTTACAGAACACGTGAAAATCAACCGAGTTCCAGCTGTCCATCAAAGCAAGAGTGAAGTTGTATATTTAACTCATTTACATAAAATGTCGTTAAAGCTGACGCATATTTTTAGTAACGTTTCTTACTGATTAGAAGACTGCAAATCGCTTGTTTAGGAAATTAAGCGTACAAATGTTGAAATTAATATTCTTTCAGAACACATTTGACACCATGTACCATGATATTATTTTAGATGATTTGAAACCGAAGTTTTAACGTACATTTCCATGTCAGAAAGCCAGTGATACGCTGTGACACAGGTATGTTTTGAATGAGAAATGGTTCCAACGTTACTTCCATTTGAAATCACATAGAACAGGTTTTAAATGAGAAAAGTTTCGATAAGCAGCAAATTGTATGAGAATTTCGAGGATTGTAATAATAAATGAAAGATTTTTAACTAGAGAGCAGATTAGCTTTCAAAATAAGGTTTTAAAATTCCTCATGTTGTGGAAGTATAACTGCAACTTTTGTTTTATGAAACATATATTTTTATACTTTTACAGTACATAGCTTATTACCCTAGAGTGTTCTCCCCTTTGGCGTTTTAGCGCCAAGTTCTCAAAATTTTAAAAATATTTGCGTAACTTTCGTCTTTCCTCAGTGAGTTTAGAGAATGAGTTTCCATAAATTTTATCCTGGATTCGTCCATTTTAAAATTTATGAGACTATGTACTGATTGTTTTCGTCTTATTAACAAAAACAAATCCAGACAAACTACCTGCGAGTGTCATGCCAAACCTTTCCTTTCTAATTATTGAACTTATATCAGCCTAATACAAGAACCGACCCATTACAGCGAAGCAAGCACGAACTAGCATTGAATCTGCGATTTCACCGAGTCAGATGCACGTTCACCTTCCCTAAATATTTATGGATGACTTGAGGCCTAAGGGGTAGCATAGACAACAATAATAACGGGAAAGATTCAAGTTACAAGAAAATAAAAATGAACATATTTTATTAGATATTGTAATGCAAACATTACTAAGTATTCTTATTAGAATGTAGGTTTCTTCTAAAGAAATAGTTATAAGGTATTTCTCCCGCCTTCCTAGCGTGCCTTCGTGGTGTAGTGGTTCTGCACGCTGGGCTGGTATTTCCAGAGGTCCGGGGTTCGATTCCCGGCAAAGGCAATTGCTCATTTTTAC